AAACTCAGGTCATCATGTGACACTGAAAGGACTTTTAACTGTGGAACCATCTTGCTGGCCCTGTTTTTTGTTCTCTTCTGGCATTCTGACTGGGGTAAGATCAATCTCAATGTCAGTTAGATTTGCATTTCTTTGAGGTCTAATGATGTGGAACATTTTTATATTTATTGGCCATTCAACTTTTGAGAATGTCTATTCATTTCAGTAGCCTAATTACCATTTAACTTCTTGTTGCTTAGTTTCTAAAAATTCTTTGTGTATTCTAGATACTAATCCTCTGTGTGATGTAGAGCTGGCAAAGATTTTCTACTATTCTGTAGAATGGCTCTTCCCCTGTTTAACTGTGCCTTTCTCTGTGCAGAAGCTTTTCCATTTCATGAGGTCCAGTTTGTCACTTAGCATTATTTCTTATTGGAAAAGTCCTTGCCTATTCCTTTGTCTTCAAGTGTGCTCCATACTTTTTCCTCTAACAATTTCAGAGTTTCATATTTCTCATTAATAACTTTGATCTTGGAGTTGGGTTTTTTATACAAGGTGGAAGATAAGGATCTAGTTTTAATCTTCTACATGTGAATATCCACTTTTCCCAGTGCTATGTGTTGAAAAGGCTATCTTTTCTCCATTGTGTATTTTTGGCATATTTGTCAAAAATCAGGTGGCTGTAGCTTTGCGAGTTAGTATCTTGGTCTTCCATTCTGTTGATAATTGCGTTTTACAACATTAAGCTTTTTGCTCAGGATTGCTTTGAATATCCAGGGTCTTTTGTACTTACATAAAAATTTGCACTTACATAAAAAATAGGTTTGTTGTATGTAGCCTTTATTATGTTGAGATATGTTACCTCCATTTCTAGTTTTTCTAAAAAATTTTTTTATTATTTTTATTTTATGTGTATGCATGTATTGCCTGCATGTAGGTAAGTGAACCCATGTCGCGCAATGCCCACGGAGGACAGAAGAGGCTGTTAGATCCTCTGGAACTGGAGTTATGGACAGTTGTTAGCTGCCATGTGGGTGTTGGGATTCGAACCTGGGTATTATGCAAGACCAGTGTTCTTCATCGCTAAGCCATCTCTCCAGCCCCATTTCTAGTTTTTTAAGGGTTTTAATCATGAAAGGATGCTGGATTTTGTCAAAAGCCTTTTACCTAACTATTGAGATGATCCTGTGATTTCTGTCCCTTACTACATTTATGTGCTGTATTACATTTATTGATTTGTATATGTTAAACTGTGCCTGTGTCTCTGGCATGAACCTGGCAAAAAAAATTTTTAAGGACAAATGGTAAGGAGGTCCTAAATGAGATGAAAATAAAAAAAATGAACAAGAAGCATTGAGAGGTCTCCTAGACTCAAGCAAGCGAGGCAAGTTCCCATCCTCTGTTAAAATTAAAGAGGAATGGCAGAGCTACAAACAGCAGCAGCAAGAAGAGCGGGAACTCAGTGGCGCCTCAGCAGCTGCACCAGAGGGGAACACAGGAGTGTGCCAAAGTTGGTTCATGTCAACGGATAGAAAGGGAAAAACCTGAAGAAGAGCCGAGCAGAGTTGATGGCTGCAGGATAGTTTCAGAAACTGCCTACTTAATTTCAAAAGAGCAAGGTAGGAAAGGCTAGATTTTTCCATTTTACCTTGTCTGAAAAGCTTGATTGGCTAAAGCTTGTGAAGCCACATGGAAAATTCTCAAAGAACACACTAAAAGATGTTGATGTATCATAGCAGTTAACCGTAATGTAGTTGGAGTAGACTGCCCTCCTTGAACAGTGCAGACCAAAGCACCTCTCACAAGAGGCTCACGGAGTATGTTGAACAAGAGCTATTGCAATAGGAAGAGAGCAAATCAGATTTTTAAAGCAATTTTCCTCCACCAGCCAAGAAGGTTATAGAGATGATTCTCTGAGTTTCCAGCTTTTGCCTGGTGCAAGGTGGGAACCACATCAAAGTGTAAACTTGGATGAGGCCACATAGGCTGGTGCGGGTTCCCTGCAGGTAGTGTCGCCACCCTGTCTGTTGCTGTTACAGTGGAGGTGAATCAAAAAGGCCATAAACCACCCCCTCCACTGCTTTTAAATCCTCAGCACAGTGACCTTTTAGACTCAAGCAAAGAGAACTCATTAGTACAGGTCCTAGAAAGATCGGTCTCCATCCTTGCCTCTTGACGTGAGAATGTATCTCCATCTTCTTCTCCAAGCAGTGGTGAATGTTTTTTCATGATGGTAGAGAACACTCTACACTGCCAGGATGTGACCCTCAGATGCTACAAATGTTAAAAGAAGAGTGAGTGTCAGATAATTTTAGAAGATGAAAACCTTTGAGTTGTATTTCAAGAGAAGACGGAAGGATGAAAAAGAAGGCAGCAGCCAGAGGAAGAGCCACGCAGAGCCAAGGTTGGAGTGGGGAAGCTGCAGGCAGCTTGTGTACAGCACGATGTACCTGAATATTGTAGTCTCTAAGATTATTTCTCCCAATCTTGTAATTTGATCATTTTAATGTTGGAAAAATTGTTTTAATCTGAGAGCATCTTAGAACTGAACACGTTTCATCAAAATGTTAACACTTTCACAGGCTGCAGGGCACTGAAATATATCAGCCTTTTCTTTTCACAATGCCACCTTTTCCCTTGAACTTAATATGATACCACCAAAGAAAACAAATGTGGAAGTACAAAGTATTCCTGTGTGAGTGAAATCACCACCTGTGGAACAAAAAGGGGTTTGGGTTTTGTTTTTCATAGTTTACTCAAAGACGGTTCAAAGAAATCTCTCTATTTTGAACTCTGGAGTGATGGAGCAAGAGACTCACTGAGGGGTAATTGCCCTGCCTTCTGCAGCTGGGTGGTTCTGGGTCCCACACCTCCCTCCCTCTGGGACGTTTTCACTGTCTGGAGGCTGTCACAGCATGAGTGATGCGTCAGTGACAGAACACTCTTTGATTCTGTGATTCATGATAGAGCTGTAGTTTTGTTATTGACCCTAGAGGCAGGCTGTGTGAAGGATGTTTACAGTTGATACGAGGTTTCATTTTATTGGAAGATACCTCATTTACTTGAAGATCGGAGGGGGTTTGAACTTCTCATAAATGGAACTGTTTTCACCTGGTATCCAAGGACAAGTGCTTATGTCTGCATGAGTGTGCCATGTAAACTAATTTATAATTTACTTTTATATTACATGATTCTATATATTCTGTTTGATATATTTAGACATTATATTCTAGTAAGACCTGCCCAGCAGTCTGCCTCAACACCTCACAGCAAACGATAAGATACTGTCTTCTCTTCTGCCACAGGAAGCTTGTCACAGGACCCTCATCTGCTTTTAAGACACAGCATGAAGTCAAAGTGCTCTTCTGTTGTTGCTGTTATTTTGAGACAGGGTCTTGCCCAGGCTGGCCTCACACTTGTGATCCTCCTGTCTTGGTCTCCAGAGTTCTAGGGTTGCACACCTGTGCCACCATACCCAATATAAAAATGATCTTCTTGTATCTGATGTTTTAAGTACTTTAGCATTTCTGGTCAATGTTATGATAGCCTATTTTAACCTCTTCACTGCAATAATAAAAACTCTTTTAAGATACCAGCCATGATGGAGCAGTAGAGGCAGAATGAGATGAAATATAATTCAATGTAGTCACATTAAACTGAACTAGAAATAAAATAGACAAGCACAGCAACCTGTGTAAGTTTTACTCAGGCCAGCATTCTGTGGCCCCTCCCTTAGGTAGCTCGCCAGGTAAAAGAGGCAGGCAGACCCCTAAGTAAATTGGCTGTATTTAATATGGCAGGATTAAGACGGGAAGGTGTTCAGATGCTCAGAGGACAGAAGGCTTCAGTGTAACCTGAAGACCTCAGTAAGGCTTCCTGGAATCTGATGGCATTCGCTGTTCCCAACTCTGCTGTGTCTAAGGTCCACAGTCCCATCATCCTATCTCAGTCTCTACAGTTGCTCCTGACTGGTCTGCCGGTTTCCATTTCAGTAGTCATATATGGGGTCAAGAGTCACATGTGTGTATGCACTTAATATAATTCTTGTGGTATAATGCTCCTAATTAAAAATGAATTAAATGAGAAAAATATCTAAACATTAGCCATTTCTGACAGATTTGAGATTGAAATGTACACTCGCTTTTATGACCACTGAGCTATCTCTTCAGCCCCAGGAATCTTTTTTTTTTTTTTTTTTTTTAGAAAGGGTCTCCTTGTAGCCCCAGCTGTCCTGGAACTGACTATGTAGACCCGGCTGGCCTTGAACTCACAGAGATCCACCTGCCTCTGCCTCCCGAGTGCTGAGACTAAAGGCGTGTGCCACCACGCCCAGCAGAATCACATTTTTTTAATCTACTATTTTCCATAATCACATGGGATCAGAAATTCTCCCTAATCAAATGCTCTGTTTGACTATGATAATACAGCCTCTGTTAAGAAGAGAAACAAGTTACATGTGGGGTGGGTCACAGACAGGTTAATTAATTTGCATGTGGTCTCAAAGCATTCAAATCCAGTTTTAAACAACTCTAAAGTTTACTGTTTATGGTCCCCCAATATGATGGTTTTGGGAGATGGAGCATTGTGAGGTGATCAGACACTAGAGCAGGCCTAGTGGCCCAGCTGCCTTGTCCCAGCTCTGAGGGCAGAGCTGCAAGCGCCATCTGTGAACTGAAAAGTGGGTCGTCATCTGACACTCAATCTTCTGTCACCTTGACCTTGGACTTTCTGTTGCTCATCAACATCACTCTTCAAAAATCTGTTGAGCAGCCCGAATGGGATGAGATGTCCTGCCCCTTCTCAGCCTGCTGCTTGCCCCAAGGAGCTTCACCAAGATGACGGTTGGAAAGTAACTAAGCTTTTCCGTTTACTAGTTTTAACATCTTAACAATATGGGGAAACAGTGGTGCTCACACTGTTCTAAATAACTGTGTTTCTGGCATTTTCTGAATCTATTTAACATGAATGAATTTGCTTCTTTTACAAGGAAAAATCGAATTGCATTCCAGAGCTGACTATTCATGGCACATGCTATTAGAGAATGCTCACTGGCACTTACATTTTTAACCCTGTGGCTGTTGGTTAAAGCAAATATAGGTAAGATATTTCTGTAAGCCAGTCTTTGGAAGAAATTACAGTTTAAACTCTCAAATACAAATGAGCCATGCATTGTAGTAATGTTCTAAGTGCTTTTTGTAGTCAATCTTTTGTCATTTAGTGGATAATCCTGATTCAATAACTAGTATTATCTCATTGTTTTAATGATTAATATAAAGCTCTAATAATATATTTCATCTTTAGAGACTAGCTAGGAAACCAAGAAAAAAAATTGGCTGCATTTTCCTGGCTTTATGATCGAGACCTTCCTTGGTCTTGGCTTTCTGGCCCATAAGAATCTAAGATCAGCAATCAATGAAACCAAAGCCAAACATATAAGTAAGATAAGAAAGGGAGGGCGAGAACAAGCCTAGCTTTGAAAACAAAAATGACAATGTTTTATTTTTAAAGATTTTCAGTATTTCTTTTACTTGATATAAATAGCTTCTTCACCAGTTCTTGTTGATGGCAGTTGATTGATCCTGTCTTATAATACAATAACCCTACTCTGCAAAAGACATCCAGTGGAAACTTTATATCACATCTGAAAACTGAGAATAAACCTGTATCTTTTAGTTCTTTTCATTGAAGCTTATAAATGGAAGGAAGTAAAGGACTCTCTTTTTTGTTGTTTTGTTTTGTTTTGTGAAAGAGAGTCTCCTTGTAGCCCCAGTTGGCCTAGAACTCACTATTTAGACCAGGCTGGCATCTCACAGAGATCTGCCTGCCTCTACCTCTGGAGAGCTGGAATAAAGGCCCGCACCATGGGGCCCAGCTAAAGGACTCTCTTTTAAAAAATATTTTATTTATTGTTTTTATTTTATGTGTATGTATGCATTGCCTGCATGCAGGTAAGTGATCTGTGTCACGTAGTGCCTGTGGAGGTCAGAAGAGGGTGTCGGACCCCCAAGAACTGGAGTTACGGACAGTTGTTAGCTGCCATGTGGGTGCTGGGATTCAAACCTGAGTCTTCTACGAGAATATTCAGTGTTCTTAACTGCTGAGCCATCTCTCCAGCCCCTAAAGGACTCTCTTAAACGAGAGTTTAATGTCGCATTGGATGTACTAATGAACACAGAGGAGTTGTCCAAGAAGATTAGTAGATGCATACCATTTACATCAGCTATATCACCCAGGGTTCTACATATTGAAGATGTATCAAAATATGGATTGTTGGACCCAATTTCCTTGTTTTTTTGTTTCTGTTTGCCGTTTGTTTTGTACATGGTATCTTTCACTGTGTAATCCAGTCTGGCCTCTTACTCACGATCCCGTTGCCTTAGCCTTTCAAGTCCTGGGATTGCAGCATCACACCTGGCTTCTGAGTTCCATCCTTAATGCCAATTGCAGACACATAGAGCCTTTGAATATTTTGTCTTTGTTATAAAATGATGTATAAATTGTACATATTTAATACAACTAATACATTAAGAGATGAAATTATTCCTAGATATACCCCTAAAGTTTTCAATAGTCTGTTAAAACTTTCTCTTTTTCTTGGTATGAGTATTGTTTGAAATAAACATTTTAAATCATAGTGGTGATGGTAAAAGATGTGCTTTATCTTAGGTAGCTCTCTTAGTGATCTGGTGAGAAATATGCCTGTGGAAGAGTCCTGTCAGAGATCCTGGAAACGCATTCTGGAATGTTCTTCCAGCGCTGCTTCCTCTCCACTTGCCTCTTTCTGGTTATGGTTACAGAATGACTGTTTTGAGGATGTATATGCAATTCAGACTTTAGAATGACTGCTTTCTGTTCTCTTTGAGCATTGCCAATGTTGCTAGAGCAGCGTAGGTTATTTATAGTCCTGTGATCTGATGAATTCAATCTTACCCTGCTTTGGAGAGTGCAGAGACCCTGCATCTCGAAACATTATGTCTTCCTTCCAGGCTGAGTGCTGCATTTATATCTTCCTACAGATGTGTGCAAGAGAGGACAAGTGACTGCAAAGCCTTCCCATGTGGTGCCGCTGGGATCACCTGTCATTATTTCCTGCTCTTTGAAACCCAGACAAGGCTGTTTGTACTATTCTACTTTGAACAAATTAATCCTCTACAAGTCGGGCCAAGAAGTCAGTGTCCACCATGGTCAGTCCTTCAGTTTTCAAGCCACAGATCTTCCCCTTGGCAAAACCGTGTTTGTCTGCAAGCTGGCCTGTATCCGTAGCGATGAGAGTCAAGTTTGTGGGGTGGAGATCTCAGTTGGTGGTGAGCATTCCTTTGAACTCTTAGGAAGTGGTCATTTTTTTTGGTGTTTGTCATGAGTTAACCAGAAACCCAAATAAAGACAGATTTCTTTCTTTTCCTATCACACTAGGTTTGGGAACCTCAGTGTGAGAAGTCCAGAATTCAACAGAACTAGGGTTTTATTTGCCAAGTCACAGTCTTTCCCTTCTTTGCCCCCTTCTTTCTTCTTTCTCTGACCACTAAGACTATCTCTGCCTGTTGTCCTTAGACTCAGTGGTCAGAGGAAAATGGCTCTCTGCAGCTAAGTTGCCTTACCCATAGTTCTTGACTTAGGAACATTGATTCCTAAGCTCTAAAAAGCCAGAAGAGGGTCTCTTTATGCAACCCAGGCTGGCAACACAGGACTGAGCACATGTCCCCCTCCCTCACTTAGTGCATAGCAAATGTTCTTCCATTCCACTCACCTTGACCACTGGCTCTCACACTTAGCAGAAGCTAATGGGAAACCATGATCAGACTTATGATCATTTCCTGGAAAATTGCCTAAATCAAAGCTGATTGCTCATACTTCAAGAGAGGAAATGATTTATTCAGTCCCAAGGAGGCAGGAGAGGAAATAAGTCAGGAAATATAGTTAATGTATCATTTAACAATGGGGTGGTTCTAGGAAAGTTTAGTTGATTTCACCATTATATGAACAACATAGAGTATACTTAACACGAGCTAAAATGGCGCCACTAAATGTTAGCATCTTATGGGACCACTGTCATGTATTTGGGTCTGTTGACTGAAACACCATTGTGAGCATGTGAAGGTACAACATGGTGATGTTACTAAGCTGGCAATAGCCTCATCAGAAAGTACTGCTGGCTGTTTGTTCACTTAGGGACAGCCCCAGAAAAAGCACTTGGAAATATAATAACATCCCCCATTCATTTGCTACCTATCTCCCTGATTGTAAAGTTTACCCCATAGGACATTACGTCTCTTATGCTGCTTTCTTCCATGGCTTGTCCTCCAGGCAGCTGCTGAAAGGAAAGAGCTACAGTTCACAATTGGCCTGTGCTGCATGAGCTCTAGTGCACAGAGGAGCCAGCAGTCACCTGCTGCAGTTCTAGCCATCAGCCTACCTCATCTTAGGCAAGCCAGCAAACATGCTTGAGCCCCAAATAATTCCGTGGCTCTTTTTCTTCCATGATTCTGGGCAGGTGACAGAATTAAGACTAGGAGGAATTGCTGCCTCAGGCTGACTGACCGTGTTGCTTGGACAGTTGGCCACATAAGCAGCTATAAAAAGCTCAGTGATGCTCTTTCCAGGAAATATGGGAACCTCTCCTCCGTGGCTTAGAAGGATATGATTGCTGCCGGGTAATTTTCTTGGAGGCCTACTAGAAGTGTTGAGCAGAAGACCAAGCAAATGGCCAGCAAATCATCAATGGGGAGGAGGCCCAAACTCTGCCAGCTGGGGACTTCCTATTCAGGCCAGGCCTCTTAGCTCTGGCAGCCTGTCCTGCAGTACCAGGAGCATGGGCTCTGAGTCCCATTTCTGCCAAGAGCCGTGTACTCTAGACAGTTTATTTCTCTGAGCCTCAGTGTCTCTGTGCTGTGAAAATATTAACACCTACCTCATAAGATGGATACAGTGATTATGCGATCCTTTGAGTGCAAAGTTCTTAACCAAGTGCCAGGCACATGGAGGCGCTGGAGTGGCAAGTGCTAGGGTGGCAGTTCCATCCAGTTTTATTCTTTATCTTCATGCTTGCCTCAGGCTGAGTACTAGACACTGGTCATAGTCAAAATTACTTTTTTTTTTTCAAAAGCACCATTGAGCCTTATCTTTATCCTCAGAACACCCAACTATTTCACCCAGGTAAACTTGCCATGTGACCACACCAGTATTACATATTTGTATTGGACAATCTCAGCCCTGTGACACCAGTTCCAGGTGTTCCCAGTGCCATTTGCATTCTCTTCTTTTCAGTAGACCAACAACAGCCTTGGCAGTTTGTTCCCTTCTGAGGTACTTGGCAATCCCATTTTGTATCTGTGCTCTCATACGAGAGTGCCGTGCCCCTTTCCAGTTTTTATGTCTCCATCCATTGCATGTGAATGTGTTTGTGGCAACTTGAAGCATCAGGAGCTCTGGAGAGATGGTGAGGAGGGTCCATCATGATTCAGCTCAGTTGGGTGGTCCTGCAGAATGTTCTTGTGCAGGATTCCTGAGGTGACCACCATCATCAAACAGCTGCTCTGTGAGCAAGTTTAACACCTTTGAGAAGAAGGATTGACTGGAAGCAACACTTTACTCTGAGTTTGGCTAGTCTAATTCCAAAAAGAATGAATTTGGTTTCACCCATGTTGTCAGCAGTGCTGTCTTTTGAGAGAGAAAGCAGTCCATTTCCTTTTAAAGAAAATTGGTGGTCTGTTGTGTGATGAACCCCCAGGAGGGCCGATTAGAAGCTTAGTTGTTTTTTTCTGAGCTGGGACTAGGCAAGAAGTCTTTCTTTCTTTCTTTCTTTCTTTCTTTTCTTTCTTCTTTCTTTCTCTCTTTCTCTCTTTCTCTCTTTCTTACCTCTTCCCATGTATGAGTTGCTCTGCTACCCAGTGTTGATCCAAATTGTGTAGAAACTAGTCAGTCAGGACACTAGCCAACCAGAGGATTGATCTTCAAGCAATTTAGAAAATGGAAGACAATAGATTGTTGGCTATTTTCAATCCAGTTTATACTTTAGCCGTTGATATTTCTGAAAACCATTTTTCTAAGACTGTGTTTCCCTTAAGCAGGGTTTTGAGAAACAAGTCTAGGGCTGAGGAACATTTTTGTCATTGGTGGTACTGATTTCTTTTTGTTTGTTTGTTGTGTTGAGGCAGGGTCTTACTAATAGCTCAGACTGGCCTTGAACACACCATTCTGCTACCTCAGTCTCCTGATTGCTGGAATTACAGTTCTGTGCCACCACGCCTGTCTTAAAGGTTTCTAATATTAAACTGACATTCCTCTAGCGATGTTGACTCGTTATCATCAGGGTAGTAGAGCTAGCTGGGGTAGTGGATGTTCACTTTCCCAGGAAAATGGTAGAATGTGATTTGTCAGCCACACCTGGACTGGAGAGTTCTGCAGTTTGGGCTGGATAGTTGGTTTATCTTGGTTTCTTCTTTGATAAGATGATAATAATGTTAGTTACTTTATGGAGCGCTCTGATGTCTGAGAACTGCACATAAGACATGGGGCTTGGCATACAGTAAGTGACCAATATTCATGATTACTTCAGTCATTAGAGGAAATTCGTGCCTTTGGAACAAATTTGGACTTGATGGAATATGGCTCTATCCAGATTTTCTGGGACTTGGAGAAGGTATTATCAATCTCTATTGGCAAATAATAACAAGGTGCTCCCAATATCACCTGCAGAAGATTTCAAATATCAAGTCTTGTTCTTTCTTTTTAAAGTTGTTCCAGAGCAACCTCGAAGCCTGTCTTGTATACAGAAGGGAGAACATGGGAATGTGACTTGCACCTGGGACCCAGGAAGAAACACTTGCCTAAGCACCAACTATACCTTCCAGTGAGTAAGGGATTATGCTTTGTGGCTATTTTGTGTATCTTCTCTTACATGACCTTAAGCAGTGTCTAACAGTTTTATTTTTGCCAAGGAGAAGCAGCAATAGCTATCTCATCTAAACCATTAAATACTTTTTAAAAACCCTGGTGTTCATCAGTTTGAACTGTGAGACTAGATATCTTGGTCTTGCTTTCTAGCTTTGAGTCATCCAAGGCCCTGGTTAGGGTGGTCTCTCTTCTACCAGGTTAATCTGGCTATATAATATCCCTGTCTCTTTTGCTGTCTCACACTCTTGAGTATCGTGGACTCCTCCTTGTGGTAACTGTTAGTTTGGAAGAATTAATTTTTAAAACACAGTTGGCTGGTGTGAGCAGGAGATGGGAAAGACAGTGGGACCCAGGATTGGGGTCTATACTGGGAGCTCATACCATACTTTTGTTCAGTGGGGACTGAGGCACTCGCAGATCCTTTGAATAAAGATACACTCTGCCCTGAGGAGCTAAGATGACAGCCAGGGTCTTGAGAATTTGGGCAGTTTAGGTGAAAATATTCCTCCTTATAGACATTCATTTAAAAAGACCCCAGTTGTACCAAAAGAAGGGGTGAGGGGAGAGATGGTCTTACTTCTAAGAATAGGATGCAAATATTTTCATGGTCTGTTCCCTAGTAATAAGACTGGTCTTTTAAAAGTTGGTCTAGAGTTTTCAATGTTAGAACACTTTGTGCTTTTGTGCCAACAAAAGCAAATAAAGCATCTTGCTAAACACAACTGTGTTTTGACCCCAGGTTAACTGGACCAAAAAACACAACTTGGAAGAATCACTGTCACAACTGTGATCATTTGGACCTTGGGACCAGCCTAAAACCTGAATTACCTGAATCCAGGTTCTTAGCCAAGGTCACTGGCACCAATGGGCTTGGAAGCGCTTCTTCATCTCCATTTCCTTACACATTCTTGGACATAGGTACACTTTGTTTCATTTTCTACAGGTGTCATTCATTGACACATGAAAATTATTTTAAAACTCATTCAAATCTTCTGTGTGCAATTGTTTTAAAAAGAATCAGATGGTAGCCGGGCGTGGTGGCGCACACCAGTAGTCCCAGCACTTGGGAGGTAGGTGGATCTCTGTGAGTTCAAGGCCATCCTGGCCTATAGAGTGAGTTCCAGGCCCCTGGGGCTACAGGGAGACCAAGTTTCAAAAAGACTAAGAGAGAGAGAGAGAGAGAGAGAGAGAGAGAATCTGATGTCGATGGAAAGTAACTAATAGGGATAGACAAAGACAGAAGCATGTGACTGAGAGCATGGCCTGTGGCTGTATAGAAGTAGCTGGGATCTTATAATGGGATCTTGAGTTTCATTCTGTGAGAAAAATAAGAATTCCTGGCTTGTTTCCATAGAAGTACCAGCTGTCAATGACACTGCCGAATGAAAAGAGTGTTCTGGGAGGTCATAAAGGTATCTTTTTATCCCAGTGCCTATTCCTACTATTCAGATGCCACAAAATATGGCCTGCTGGGCTGAACAGCCAGATGCATGCTGTGCTTACAGTGGGCCAGGATACAAATGCACCTACTCTGAGAACTGTGTCTGTCCCTTATCCTTGGGAACTGGAGTGAGCTATGTGTGAGCAATAGAATTGGTCCAGCAGAATCAGAGACCAATCTCAGGCATCCTGACTTGCAACCATCCAGGTGGGCTTAGGACCATCCAGGTGGGTTGGGGTGTCTGGCCTACCTGTAGCTCCCACCTCACACTGTCTCTCTCCTGTTGTACCTCTCTACATATGCAGTGCTACCATCCACCTCCTCCACTCTTCCCCCCACCCACCTCTCATCTCTTCACAAACTGCTCGTCTTGATGCCACAATCTTCCCTCCAATTCTTTTCTTTTCAGTTTTTCCTGTATTTTGCCTTTGCTATGAATTCTCCTAGCAACATTTCTTCTCCTGAAGTGATCACACTAGCCGCCTGTCTCCTCAGTCATCAGCATACTGGTTTTCCTTAAGTCATAGGGTTAAGTGGCATTGACACATCCACTATTTGGTAGAGATGAGGCTGAATTAAGAGGAAATATTTTATTGATTGAAAAGTGAAGTCAACATTTTAAACAGCTCATATTACTACTTAAGCTAATCTCTGGTTGTGAAGCCTGACCCACACTTTTTGGTTTGTCCTGCTTGCTAGTGAGGCCTCTTCCTCCGTGGGACATCAGGATCAACTTCCTAAATGCTTCTGTCAGCAGATGTACCCTTCGGTGGGAGGATGAAGAGCGAGTGATGCTTAATCGCCTCAGATACCGGCCCCGTAACAGCGAGTTCTGGAACATGGTAATGGTCTTTAGAGGGCGGGAAAAAGTCATTAAAGGCCTTGGTGTTGGTGTACAGACCCATTGTCATGTCAGAAAAATTCAGGGTTTAGGAATATTTAGCCTGAGGCTGGAGAGATGGCTCAGTGGCTAAAAGAACTAGCTGTTCTTGCAGAGGACCTGGTTTGGTTCCCAGCACCCACATGGTAGCTAGCAATTGTGGCTGTAGCCTGGAAATCTGTCAGCAAGTTCTATACACCTCTATTTATTTTTAATTTTTTTTATGTTCATGAGAGTTTTGCCTACATGTATAGTATGTGCATCATGTGTGTGCCTGGTGCCCATGGAGGACAGAAGAGGCACTGGATCCCCTGAAACTAGAGTTATAGATGGTCATGAGCTGCCATGTCAGTGCTTAGAACCAAACCCAGGTCCTCTGCAAGGGTAGCAAGTACTCTTAACCACTGAGTCATCTCTTCCTCACCTCATTTTATTAAGAAATACCTTGGGGAGCTGGAGAGATGTTTCAGTGATTAAGAGCACTGGTTGTTCTTGCAGAGGACTGTGGTTCAGTTCCCAGTACCCACATAGCAACGAACAACCATCTGTAACTGCAGTTCCAAGGGATCTGACACCCTCTTCTGACCTCCACAGACATTGCACAACATGGATGCACTTACATACATGCAGGCAATACACTCACACAACTAAAACAAAATACTAAGATGCAGAGGGTGTGTGTGTGTGGCTCAGTAGGTAGAGTGCTTTCTAAGTAAACATGAGGACCTGAGTTTAGATTCCCAGCACCCATGTAAAAAGCCAGGCATGGTGGTGCATGCCTGTAATCCCAGCATTGAGGGACAGGAGGATGGCTGGAGGGCATTGGCCAGCTGGCCAGTTAGTGAGATCCAGGTTCAATGAGAAAACTTGTCTCTAAAAAATATGGTGGAGAAGCAGCAGAAAGACATCCAACATTGACTTTTGGTGTCCACATGCACATGCACAAACATACATATGCCCCTCCCCACATGTGTACACACATGCATGAATATGTACACACACATATACATCTCACATACAAACACATAAGAAACGTCTTGATTCTGAATTTTCATTTTTTTAAATGTTTATTTTATGCATATGTGTGTTTTACCTGCATATATGTGTGCAAATATGTAAGAGAGAGAGAGAATGATTGTGAGTACGGGCACATGTGTACCACTGTGCACATGTAAAAGTCAGAAGACAGCTTTGGGGAATCAGTTCTCTCCCTCCACAGTGCGTTTCAGGGATTGAACCCAGGTAATAAGGTTTGTGCAGTAAGCACGTTTACCTACTGAGCCATTACTGGCCTGGATTCTGAAATTTTTAAAGCCACAGCTTTTCCATAAATCAATTTTAATTTGTATAATTTACTTTTAGTCAAGAATTTGTTTCTCCTTATCATTCTATCCCCTTCCCTCATTATTATTTTTAACATTAAAAACATTAGAGAAATAATATACACAAAAGCTTATGTGGAACTATATATTACTATAATAATATATTATTATATATATAGAAAAGGCCTATAATTTGATGTATTAAACACTACATTGTGTGTATGGGGGATGGGCTCCATATGTGTCATAGCATGCATGTGGAGGTCAGAGGACAGCCTTGGGTGTCAGCCCTCACCTTTCACCATGTTTGAAACAGGGTTCCTTTGTTGTTTGCTGCTGCCTACCCCAGGCTAGCTGGCCCATGAGTTCCTGCAGATTCTCTAGTCTCCTCGAATCTCACCAGAAGAGCATTGGGATTACAGGTGCATGTTATCATGCCTGAATTTACGTGAGTGCTAGGAATTTGACTCTGGTCTTCATGCTTGTAGAGTGAATGCTCCACCCACTGAGCCATCTCCCCAACCTGGCACTACATTTTTTTTTGTAATAAAAAACATAGGATTATGATTTCTTCAAGAATTTTTGTAAAATACAGTAGTCTTTAACAATAGTGAAGGATTGAGTCTACATATAGTTGATATTCAAGAGACTATAAGAACATTTTTCCTGAAACCAGTTCTATGTTTGTGTTAAAGCATTCATCATAAGCCAATTATATCCAATTTTAAAAAAATTTTTTTAATTAAAAAAAAAGGCCGGGCACAGGGAGACCCTGTCTCAAAAAGACCAAAAAAAAAGTTGTGCAGTAAGCATGTTTACCTACTGAGCCATCAGTAAATAAAAATTGTTTTTATTTTATTTTATGTGTATGCATGTATTGCCTGCATGTAGGTAAGTGCACCCGTGTTGTGCAATGCCTACAGAGGACAGAAGAGGCTGTGGGATCCCCTGGAACTGGAGTTACGGACAGTTGTTAGCTGCCATGTGGGTGTTGGGATTCAAACCCAGGTCTTCTGCAAGAACATTCAGTATTCTTAACCGCTGAGCCATCTCTCCAGCTCCCCCACCCCGCCACCCAATTTTTAAAAAAGAAAATCTGGTATAGAAATTTCTTCAAGTGGTTTTGAAAACTGATAGATTTTTGCCAAATGGGGTAGCACACAGCTATAATCCCAGTGCTCTAGAGGTTGAGACAGAAGATAGAGTTCCAGGCTAGCCTGGGCTATCTGGGAAGACTCTCAGGAAAAGAAGAAACTGACAGTTTTTTAAACTTTACTGGCTTTTCATCTGGTTTCATTGTTCCCTGGGGATTTGAATAGATGAGTTCTTATCCCAAGAGACTTTTTTAAAATGAGAAACTATTATCTTAGATTAACATCATGTGTGCTCAGTAGTTGCAGTATTAATATTTCTTCTCGTTGAATGGTAGATCTGGAGAATTTAAAAGGTTTTTTTGTCTAGATTCCCCTTTTAAGTTAAATTTCTTTGTATTATTTTATCTGTGTATGTGTGTATACACATGAACACTAGAGCCCAAACTCAGGCTTTGTACATGCTAAGCACACGCTGTGTCACTGAGATGCCTCTCCTTTATATTAATTTGCTATTAATGGACACTTTAAAAATCTTGTCTGTTTTCAGTTTTTCTACAGATTTGCCTTATTAGTTTCCACAAATGAGCATGAACATTCACTAGAGACCGGGGAAGACAGGAAGGATGAGATGTTGGGTAAACAGGATCAAAATATGACTGAGCGGAAGAGTGACTTCCAGCTCCTCCTTAGCCCAGTAAGCTAATTACAGGTTGGAACAACCTATGGTGTGCTTCAGGGTGGTCAGAAGAGTGTGCAATTCCTGTGAGAGTGTCACTGACTGAGGAGAGGGAGGTGCTTCTCCCCCTGCTTTGGTCATTCACAACGTTCCCTGTACTGAACTGCGACAGTGTACCCAGTAAAGATGCTCAAGCCTTATGTCTCAATGAAGAACATTTATCTGATTCAAGGTTAATGTCACAAATGCCAAAGGAAGACATGATTTGCAGGATCTGCGACCATTTACAGAGTATGAATTTCAGATTTCCTCTAAACTACATCTTTATAAAGGAAGCTGGAGTGATTGGAGTGAATCAGTGAAAATACAAACACCAGAGGAAGGTAGGCATCCAGAGAAGGAGGAGGGGGAGGGATCAGGGAGAGGGAACAGGACAGGTAAAGACTTCCATAGAATGGAATCGCTAGGTACATTCAGGGCAGAAACTGCCCAGGAAGACACATTGATGCTAAGAAACAGCACTGAGTCAGCCCTGCACCTGTGTGCCACCAGTCAAGCCTGTGTCTGCTTCAGTAATGTCGGTTAAACTTACTTTGGGCTCTCTCACTGAATATCTCTGCTATTCCACAAAGCTGCAGCCAGTAATTAATCTCATTTCTTGGATATATTTTATTTTCTGGGTTCGCTCAACATGTAAACTATAATTTATAAACTATAACCATACCCAAAGCTTGAAAGAAAGTCATCTCTAGAGGCAATATTCTAATATAAAAGATGTAGCAATGCTCTCAATGCTATAACATGGCTTCTTCATGCCTCTGACATGACCCAACTCACGTGAACCCCACCCTGCTAGGAGCAGCAAAGCAAATCCAGTTTTTTGTTTGACGTTTTTAAAAAAAATATTTTATTTTATGTGTATGAGTATACTGCCTGCATGTATATAAATGCACCCATGTCACGCAATGCCCATGAGGTCAGAAGAGGGCATCGGATCCCCTGGAACTGGAGTTATATGGATGGCTGTTAGCCGCTGGGAACCAAACTCAGGTCCTCTGCAGGAGCAGCCAGTGCTCTGAACTGCTGATCGATCTCTCCAGCCCCACAATTTTTAACCTAATGGGCTTTTCCTTTTGATAATTATTGGGAAGATAATTTCATTGAAATGTAAGCCAACATTTTATTGAAGCAAAGATTCTTACATAATCTTTCTGTCACTATTAACAAAGTTTTGAATTCACAAGAAACAGTCATCTGAATCTTGTTTATTTATTTATTTATTTATTTATTTATTTATTTATTTATTTAGACAGGGTCTCCCTGTAGTCCCAGCTGGCCTGGAACTTGCTACCATGTAAACCAGACTGGCCTTGAACTCACAGAGATCCACCTGCATCTGCCTCCTGAGTGCTGGTATCAAAGGCGTATGCCACCATGATTGGCTTTGAATCTTGGTTTTTAGAAACAGTCAGTTAGGGGCTGGAGTGATGGCTCAGTGGTTAAGAGCACTGGCTGCTCTTGCAGAGTACCTAGGTTCAGTTCCCAGCACTCACATGGTGGCTAACAACTGTCTATAACTTCAGTTTCAAGGGATACAATGCCTTCTTCTGGCCTCTCTAGGCATTGCATACACATGGTGCACTTACATATATGCAGGCAAAACACTCACACACATATAATAAAAATAAATCAAAAATTAAAAAATATTTTAAAAATTGGGGCTGGAGAGATGGCTCAGCAGTTAAGAACACTGGCTGTTCTTGCAGAAGACCCGGGTTTGAATCCCAGCACCCACATGGCAGCTCACAACTGTCTATAACTCCAGTCCCAGGGGATCCAACAGCCTCTTCTGACCTCTGCAGGCATTGCACGACATGAGTGCACTTACCTACATGCAGGCAATGCACACATACACATAAAATAAAAATACTAAATTTTTTTTTAAGTTTAAAAAAAATTTTTTTTAATTTTAAAATGCTCAATTACTTGTGTAGTATACACCATTTCAGAACTTATATAAATTTGGATTGGAGAAAAAATACTGGCATATGATCCGTTGCTCATTACTATCTAGAGTTTTGGTAATATTGGTAAGAGAAAATCTAAGTCGTTATTTGTGAAGATTGGGGGTGTGAGAAGCAGGCTTGTGATTAAGCTGCATTCTTTGGGCTCCTAATAGTTTTTGGTAACTGATGACACTTAGTAATAATGTGCCAGTGGCATTCAAGCCCTAAAGAGGACTGATACCTGTTAACAGAATATTACACCGAATGTAGAATTAATGTAATGATCTTCCTGTATTCTGATATTTGCGTTGATCGATCTAAGAAAATATTTTCAATGAATTCATTCAACAAAATGATAAGTACCTCTCATTTTCTGACAAAATGTCACAGTTGTGACCTACTGCTCCCTGCTTGGCACATCTGTAGTCCAGCGTTTATTTTTATTATCTTTTATTACATATAGTCAAAGTAATACATTTTTTAAAAAATACCTTGTGGGTTAGAATTTTTTAATATAACACAGATAAAATGTTTCAAATGGGTCATATTTTACATTCAAGTCTAAGATAGTAAATAGGTCTAGAAATATTTAAGCTACCTCATTACATCACATCGAGCTGAACTGTAAACTAGGGAAAACTGGGACTGTGAATCCTTGTCATTTATGCACTGGATAATGACTTACTTAGAAGTATTGAAAGGGATTGTTTTTCTTATTTTTTAAGTGTTTATCTATTGAATTAAAACTTCTTTAAGGCCAGGTAGTAACTCTAATATGTTGTAAATAAACCACCACCATAGCAAACACCTGAACTGAGCTGAGAGTTCAGAGCAGTCCTTCAGAGAGGAGCCCTGAGGCCTCCGTTGGCTTCCTTTCCAAGTCTGCACCTCCTCTGGCTGTGTTTGATCTTTCTGTGGGTTGTCCTCCTCTCTCTGCTCTTACTCTAAGCTGTGTGGTTTGCACCCCTTACCACTGTTTCTGTCATCAGTTTCTTTATGAAACACCAACCGATGTAAACCTAAAGGTGTGAAATTTTTTTTAACACTTCTTCCTTTTAACCCTTTTAAGTGCCTAGTCATATGTAACTTGGCATTTAAAAAAAAATTACTCGTAAGCTTTACTGTCTGAAACTGTGAATGATTTATGATAGAGCTCTTTCTCTATAGTCTCAGCTTCCCAAAACTGGGAGGTGTATGTTATCCCCTGGCAGCCTAACTGCAACTATTCATGTCTTGCCACCAGGCCCCTTTCCTTTGGTATTAAGTTGGACTTCTGTCATGGTCCTGCAGACAAATGACCACTACAGAAGGGGTAACCATGTCTCTTTCTTAGAAACAGTTCCCAACTCAGATTCTGTTAAAGTAGAAATGGTTCCCAGTTTAACTTCCTGACTCTGGAACCTAGAAATTGTATTTTTCTTCTAGTGAGAAAACACTCCTGAATTTGGGCTTTGAAATGTTCACACGTGCTCACCACAACACCCAGTGGAAAACGCCATGGTGATAAATAAGAGCTTTCTTAGAGAATGTGATTCTCTGTTCATTCAGCATTTTTAGAAGTCTTACATGTTTGCCACTCAACTCTGTTATGGGAAATTAATAGTATAAGCATTGCATGTTCCTACTTGGGCTAGAGAGGCAAAGATGTGCTCTCACGTAATGGTGACAACACACAGGATGAGTGAAAGATGCTCAAAGGGGAGAGATTCAGCAGCCATCTGCTGCCTTCTCTCCTCACAATGAGAAGCCAATTCATTCATCTGTATTTCATATTAAACTACTATAGGCACGAACAATTAAATTCTAGAGGTTATTTTAACATCTTGGTTAATAAGCATTTCATCACAGTGAAGCTCAGGAGTTGGCAAACATTGCCTCTGCAGGTCCAAATATCTAACACTTTTAGCTTTGCAGACCAATCGATCTCTGTCACAGTTATTAAAATTTGTTGTTGTTGTGCCCAAGCAGCTATTGACGTCAAGAGATATGGCGGGGTTCCAACAAAACTTTATAAACACTGGCATTTAAGTTTGACTTAATTTTCACATATCACTAAAAATTGCTCTTCTGGGTCCTTTTTTTTAACCATTTAAAAATATAAAAGCCACTATTATTAGTTCAGTGACTCTGCAAAAATGGACATCAATATGGATTTGGCCTTCAAAACCATAGTTATCAGCCCCTAAACTAAGCCTCTAAACTTATATCTCTGCCTAAAGCTAGAGGTAAAGTGGATGAAGAGCTCTACCCTACTAAAAGGACTCAGATGCAAACATTTCTTTAGGGAGGAATGTTTGTGATTCAGCCAGAGGCCCTCTCTTCCCCCTCCTTGAGTCACCCCTCCACCCTATACCTGTCTTGGAGGGAACAAATGCCTGTGCTCAGTTATTTGATGAATAGTGACCACCCCAATCCTAGAAAATGCTTTTCCTTGAGAAAGAGGAACTAGCTACAAGAAGTGTGTGTGTGTGTGTGCGTGTGTGTGTGTGTGTGCGCGCATGTTCATGCATTTGCACTTGTGAGTGAGCTTGTGGAGAGAGCATGAGTCTATAACATGATTCTTAGTCTTTAATAATCTGTTAGGTGGTAGATTTTTAATGAGCAATCCAGTGAGCACTGCTTTATTTATTGCCAGTGTGTAATTAACTGAAGCTATTCCCACTCCGAACAAGTCAACTGATTTTGACATTGAACATACCCGGTCCTCAATGTCTGGACTCTGCAGTCTGTAGAATTTTCTGAGCTTTGTTCAGTATGGTGGACTGTGATGAGAAGACAGCATCTTTGGAGACAGCAAGGGCTGATCTCAGCTCTCACTTTTGCCATTTACCAGGTCGAGTCTTTGTAAATTGTCTACCTCTGCAGGTCTCCTTGTTCACAGCTGTATAACAACTATCATAATACGCACCTTCTTTATTAGGGGAGGGTTAAGTGAGACCATGTATGTAAGTGTCCATACTTTGCCTTTTACTCTGAGGTGGTGTCAGTCACCTGAACTCTTTACCTATCTGCACCTGAACTATGGTTATACAAGTCCCAGTCTTGGTTCCTAGGCTACTCATCAAGGTCCTGCAGAGCTGAGAGTGTTTTCAGAAAACCTCATAGAAGCTTTTCTCACCTCTTAGTCCTTACTCTAAGGGAAGTATTACCCCTGATGGGAAGAAAGAGGGAAGAAAGGGCTTTAAGGAGAAACAGGAGTAGTTATTAAAAAATAACAGAGGGTGAGGGACCAGGAAGAGGAAGTTATAAAGGAAGGGAACAACCACAAAAGAGATCCCCCTCATGTAGAATGGAAGTTTTATAGAGAAATCACAAGCTTTCTCAGAGTCAGGTAACTACGTGGTACAGATCCAGGTCAGGCTACGCTCAAAGAACCATGTTCAAAGCCTGGCTTCCCTAATTAGGAACCCTAAGTTCCTTATCCACGCAGCAATTCAGTTTTCAAATGAAGAAAACAGCAACAGCCAAATTTGCTGACAGCTTACCCTTTGCTAGCACTCTTCATTTAAATTCCCCCAAGATAGCCCCTCATGACACATAGAATTATCTTATTTGATAGTCAGGAAATCTGCCGAAGGGCATGGTTAATGTTTGTTTAAGGTCACACAGCAGGATTCTGCTGGTACTTGGCCTGGTTCTGCAGTGCTCGGTAACCCCTGCACTAAAGCGTGAGGAGACCTGAGGAGACCGTAAAGGTGGAGCTGCGAATGGCCCTGCAGGCCCTGCCCACAGCACTGGCACAGGGCCACCCTGGCTGGCCTCCCTTTCTGCTCTGCTGTCTCTCCCTGGCTGCATAGCTACTGTTTCAGATGGCAGAACTTAATTTTCTAGAAATTTCACTCTGGTTGAGAGGAACTTACTCTAGAAGGAACCCCAGTGCAGCCTCACCTAAAATATACTGAGTTTCACTGTGAAAAAAGTTGTGTTGGAGCAATAGAAGTCTGCTTTCAGGGGGTGTTTCTACTGACTGAAAATCAAAGCAAATCGAGTGGACTTGATAGTGGGGGAGTACACACACGTTCATACACATATATACATATGCATGCACACATGTGTACACACACACACATACACACACAAAGGGGGGTTGTCTCTTTTTCAAGTGTGCTTGAGTTTCTCAAGTTAAATTACACTTATTTGACCATTGTGTTACAGAATAGTGCTTAATTCTCCTATTTGTTCAGCGTGCGTTTTGACATCAAATGCATTCCATTGCCTATTTGTTCCTCATCCTTGAGAATGCTTACTCATCTTAGATGCTGTGCTGGGCTTTGGGACTTTTAAGATAAATGAGACATGCCTTCAAGTAGGTCATTGTCTAATGATCAAAAACCAAAGAACCACACCACAGTATATGTCTCAGACTGCAGGTGGGGATAAGGCTTGCCATTTGTATTTGTGCTGTATGTTTTTATAATACCTAAAATTGATTTTCATTATGCCCTTATATTCCCACATTTCAGTGAAAAAGAAATAACCATACATACTTTGAGTTTTTAAGGTAGGAAATAAATTTCCTTCACAAACTTTAAAACTTTTTTCATTTTAGGCTGGGCGTGGCAGCACCTGCCTTTAATCCAGGTCGACTGGGGCTACACTGAGACCCTGTCTCAAAAAGACCAAACAAAACAAAACAAAACAAAACAACTTTTTTCAGGCCTGGAGTGGTGGTGCACACCTTTAATCCCAGCACTTGGGAGGCAGAGGCAGGCAGATCTCTGTGAGTTCAAGGCCAGCCTGGTCTACATAGTGAGTTCCAGGACAGCTGGGGCTACTGGGAGACCCTCTCTCAAAACAGACCAGGGGGGAAAAAAAAAAAAAAAACAACTCTTTTTCTTTTTAAAGTAACTTTGTTTTTTTTTTTTTCTGACTTTTGTACCAAAGATGTACGTGTTTGTTGTTAAGTAGAAGAGAAAATACTGTATGTATTACAATGAAAATTGAAATTATCCTGTAATTCTACTTCCTGATGATTTATTGACTAATCAATTAACTTTTAACAATTTTTTAAAATTGTATATACTCATATACATGTGAAAATTTGTTTTTCCCTCTCAAATCAGAGCCTACTGGGACATTAGATGTCTGGTACATGAAACAGAACATCGACTCTGAGAGACAACGGCTATCCCTTTTCTGGAAGGTAAGTTTTCAATGTCAATTTAAAACTCAAGAAGATGGCTCATTGGCTGAGTGTGTACTGCTCCTGCAGAGGTCCCAAGTTCAATTCCTAGCACCTACATTGAGCAGCTCACAACTGCCTGTCACTCCAGCTCCAGGGGATCTGACACCTCTGGCCTCTGTGGGTACCTGCACACATGCACATACCCACACACAGATATACATACACATAATTAAAAATAAGCCTCTTAAAAACTCAAGGAAGGGGGCTGGGCCTGGTGGTGCATGCCTTTAATCCCAGCACAGAGGCAGAGGCAGGCAAATCTCTGTGAGTTCAGGGACAGCTTGGTGAACATAGGGAGTTTCAGGCCAGCTGGGGCTACAAGGGAGACCCTGTCTCAAAAGACCAAAAAAACAACAACAAAAAAAAACAGGGCTGGAGAGATGGCTCAGCAGTTAAGAACACTGGCTGTTCTTTCAGAAGGCCCAGGTTCAAATCCCAGCACCCACATGGCAGCTAACAACTATCCATAACTCCAGTCCCAGGGGATCTGACAGCCTCTTATGGCCTCCACGGGCATTGCACGACACAGGTACACTTACCTACATGCAGGCAATACACCCAATACACGAATACAAAAAAAAAGAAACTCAAGGAGAGTATATATCTAAGTGATTCTGTATTTCCATGGCAGAGCCCCTCTGTCCCCACTGTGGCTTCAGCACGGCATTCTGAGCACAGGTGGAATTCATTTCCTCAGATATATCTGTAATACCTGATCACTTAGCACTCCTGCTGAGTTCCCACCTCCACACACATCCTTTCTTGCATCCCCGGCATTCTGCCCTCTGTCTACACTCTCTCTTCTGAATAGTAATAGAAAGCACCCCCCTCCAGCAGTAAAGCAGGAGCAACAGAATGGGAGGAGCCTAACATTATCAAATTTTACCTGTGCTGACAGCCATTACTGCCATCTCATTTAATTCTCACAAAACCCCTGTGGGGTAGGTACTCATCTGCCCACCAGAAGAAAGCTCCAGTTGAGAGAGAAAGGGCATGTCTCAAGCTGCCCAGCCACAAGGACAGAATGGGAGCTGGAGCCTTGAACTTTTCCTACTACTTCACAAGTCATTGTTACTGAAAGAAAAGATGATCTGAATGTAACCATGATCTCATGCCCATAGGACAAGGTTTCCAGGTAGTCCTAACTCCTACTTTCATGTCTTTTTTCATGTGTGTGACCCACTGAGTTTAATTAGGGTTGCTTGCATGAGCATGGATGGGAGGTTATTGACTGGAGGTTAGGCAACTTGCCAGTGGCTACACCATCTGGCACCATGAACATTAGACAGCAGGAAGAAGCATCCAACTCAGCTCCAGATTGATTCTTCTCTGTGCCCTGCAACCAAAATATATGGTGTCTTCAGCAGTAGAGTCTTTCTATCTACGTCTGATGGGCAACCAGGAGCAATGACAATAACCTGTATCATTTGGGGAGCCTTCCTGACCAATAATTCAAAGGAAGCCATCTCGTACCTGGCACTGGCATTTTAATTTAATGACCTCTGGCTTCTGAGTGCAGCAGTATCCACCCCTACAGAGTACCACCATTTAAACTCTTTTTAAATTTTTTTCATCAATTGTATTTTTTTTTAATTCACAAAATAGTAGGTTTCCTTATGCTTTTTTCATGCATCCTTAGTTTTTCTAACCATCCCTCCAATCCCCTTCTTTTCCCGTTCTCCACTCTCCAGTTGAAGCTCTGGCCCCCAGTATCCCCCCTTTGTTCTCCCTTCACATGTGTTACTCTCCCCACTTAAGGTCCCCCTCTCCCTTTCATATCTCTTTTGCTTCCTGGCCCCTGCAGGCTCTCTGGCTTAAACACAGAAATCTAAAAAGTCATAGCCAGGCTGTCCATATGAAAGAGAATATATAGTGTTTGTCTTTCTAGGTGTGGGTTGCCTCACTCAGTATATTTTCTAATTCCATACATTTTCCTGCTAATTTCATTATTAGTTATAGCTGAATAAAATGCCGTGGTACCAAATATTCACATCCATGTGTCTGTTAATGGACATCTAGGCTGATTTCATTTCTTAGCTATGATGAATGGAGCAGCAATGAAGATGGATGTGTAGGTGCTTCAGGTGCTTCTGGGTACATGCCTAGGAGGGGTATAACTGGATCCTACAGTTGTTTTGATTTTAGCTTTTTGGAAAAAAGCTTCACACTGATTTCCATAGTGGCTACACCAGTTTACACTCCAACCAACAGTGAATAAAGGGTTTCCCTTACACGTCGTCCTCACCAGCATTTGTTGTTATTTATTTTCTTGCTAATAGCTGTTCTGTCAGAGGTGAGGAGGAATCTCAAAGTAGTTTCAGTTTGCATTTCCCTGATGGCTGAGAATGTTGAACATATTTTTAAACATTAATTTTTAAATATTTATTAAATATTTTAAAAATATTTATTAGCCATTTGTATTTCCTCTTTTGAGAACTTTCTGACCAGTTTTGTAGTCCATTTTGCAATGAGTTGTTTTCATGATGTTTAGGGTTTTTAGTTCTCTGTGTATTCTAGATTACAATCCTCTGTCGTAAATATTGCTTGTAAAGATTTTCTCCCATTCTGTAGGTCACCTCACCACTTGATTGACAGTTTCCTTTGCTGTACAGGAGCTCTTTCATTTCAGAAGGTCCTATTTGTCAATTGTTGGCCTTATATCCTGAGTAACCAGCCTCTATTTAACGTAGTGTAATCTCTACTTTTTCCTCTAGAAGTTTCAGAATTTCACATGTTATATTGAGATTCTTGGTCTATCTGGAGTAGATTTTGTGCACGGTGAAAAATAAGGATTTATGGGACTGGAGAGATGGCTCAGTGGTTAAGAGCACTAACTGCTCTTGCAGAGGACCCAAGTTTGAATCCCAGCACCTACATGGTGGCTAACAAACATCTGTAACTCCAGTTCCAGGGGATGTACACCCTCTTCTGACCTCCACTGTCATTGTATGACATGGGTGCACTTACAATACATGCAGGTATAACACTCATACACATAAAAATAAATAGTTTTTTTTAAAAAAAGAGAGCCAGGCATGGTGGCACACACCTTTAATCCCAGCACTTGGGAGGCAGAGGCAGGCGGATCTCTGTGAGTTCAAGGCCAGCCTGGTCTACATAGTGAGTTCCAGGACAGCTGGGGGGACGGGGACACCCTGTCTCAAAAAGACAAAAAAAAAAAAAAAAAAAAAAAAGAAAAAAAGAAGGATTTAGTTTCATTCTTCTACAGGTAGATATCCAGTTTTCCCAGCACCATCTGTTGAACATACTATATTTTCTCCAATGTGTATTTTTGGCATTTTTGTCAAAAATCAGGTAGCTGTGGTTGTGTGGATTATATCTAGGTCCTCTGTTCTATTCTGTTGATCTACATGTCTGTCTGTGCCAGTGTCATTTGGATTTTATTATTACAGCTCTACAGTATAGCTTGAAACCAGGTATGGTGAAAAACTCCTCCAGCTTTATTTTTTCTTCAGGATTGCTTTGACTCTCTGGGGTCTCTTGTGCTTCTGTGTGAATTAATTTTTTTTTTCTATTTCTATGAAAAATCACACTGGGATTTTGATTGGAACTACATTGAATCTGTAGATTGCTTTTTATGGATGGCCATTTATACCATATTAATTCAAGTCCATGAGCACGGGGAGTCTTTCCATCTTCTAGGGTCTTTCTCAATTTCTTTCTTCAGTATTTTAAAGTTTTGTTGTAAAAGTCTATCACTTCCTTCAGCTTACTCCAAGGAACTTTTTCTAGGCTATTATGAGCAGCATTCTTTTCCTGATTTCTTTCTCAGTATGATTGTTATTAGTATATAGGAAAGCTAATGGTTTTATAAGTTAATTTTGTATTCTGCTACTTACCCAAAAGTATTTATCAGTGCTAGGAGTTTTTATGGCAAGATCCTTAGAGTCTCTCCTGTATAGAATCATATTATGTGTAAATGAGGTAACTTTGACTTCTGCCTCTCCTCTTTGTATCACTTGTATTTCCTTCTCTTGTCTTACTGCTCTAGCTAAGATTTCAAGCCCCATATCCACATAAGAGAGAGCATGTGGCAATTTGCCCATATTGAATAAGAATGGAGGAAATAGACACCTTTATCTTGCTCCTGATCTTAGTGGGAATGCTTTGAGGTTTTCTCTGTTAAGCATAATGTGGGTTATAGGTTTGTCTTATGTAGTCTTTATTTTGTTTAGATATTTTTCCTCCATCCCTGGACTCTCCAGAGCTTTTACACTGAAAGGATGCCAGATTTTGTTAAAGCCCTTTTGGATCAGTTGACAATCTGACCACTGCAGAGACATGCTTCTCTGAACAAGGTTGAGGGCAGCACTAATCTACATGCATAAACATAACTATTGCAAAGGCAGTTTCACAACATATCCTGTATTAGTTGCTTTTCTATTGCTATGATAAAACACTGTGACCAAGGAAACTTACAGAAGAGTTTATTTGAGCTTATGGTTCCAGAGGAATTAAGAGTTTGTCATGGCAGGGAGACATGGTGGCAGGAGGTGGCCGGAGCAGGAGCAGAAAGCTAAGCATGATCACATCTTCAAGTAGGCACAGAAAGAAAAGAGCAACTGCGGATCCGGATCCCACAAGGCTTAAGAACTCTCTAAGCCCACCCCCCCGGTGATGTACTTCCTCCAGCATGGCCACACCTTCTAAGACCTCACAAAACAGCGCCACCATCTGGGGACAAAATGTTCGAATACTTGGAGCCTATGGGGGACCTTCTCATTCAAACCACCACATATCCATGTAGCAAGACAAGAGTAGTAAATTTGTCCCTGGGGCCTGTGACCTCCTGAGCCACAGACTTTTGACCATGTTTACAGTACCAGGCATGAATTCTCTTCTGGGAAGGCCTCAAATCTAATCCCAAAGTAGTTGCCACCATAACCACTATTGCACCAGTGGGCACATCTTGCCTGGCAGGTATTGTAGCATGTAGG